TTTTTTTTGCTTGATGGTTTTTAAAAATTCTTATTAAATTCTCAATAATTTCGAAAAACTTTCAAAAGCTCACCAAAAATTTTCAAAAATCTTGAAAAATTCCCAAAAACCTTCAAAAATTTTCGAAAATCTCTAAAAGTTTTCAAAAAATTTCCAAAATTCCTCAAAAACTCGCGAAAAATTCCCAAAAATCTTCAAAAATTTTCGAAAAATTTCCAAAGTTTTTTCAAAATGCCGATAATTTATAGAAGTTTTTGACAAATATTCGAAAAATTTTTCGACCCCCCCCCCAATCTTTAACCCCTCGCGACAGCCCTGCTTTCATGTGGACAAAATAAGGGAACAAGGTCATCCGACAGGCTGGAAATGGATGGTGATAATTCATTTGTTATATGGTCATCAAACGTTGCCATCAGTCGATAACTTTGTAACAACAAAGGTAAAATTAGTCAACATAACATCAGTAATAAACATGTTTCTTTTCTCATCTGAACTTTGATCTCCTTAGTGATTCACAATCTAAGTTGCCAAGTGAGTGAGATTAGTGAACACGAATATGTAGACAATTATCATCAGTTATTTTCTGCGTCTTCTTTCGTAAGAGTCTATGTTTGACGCTTTTGTTTTAATGAAAGCAATGTTGATGGATAGAATGGTTGGGACAGTAGCGATTGGAAAATTTATTTGGATTCTTTAATTTGCTAACCTTCTACGAAGACAACAGTTGCTAATATTGGTTTGGTCATCTGTTAAAATAGCTGAATAAAACCGGTGGAAAAAATATGTACGTATATCATGAGATCTTTTTAGACCAAATGTGCACACTAAAATAAAATGTGTCGTATATATGTGTCGTACAAGAATGTGTCGCAGACTCCATTACAAAAATGTGTCGCATTATAGATGTGTCATAGCCTATATGTCAATCGTTCATTCACCGATTTGTTTCGCGAGTGCAGCTGCATATAACCGAGCCTATTAGACGTACTTGACTTATACATTTTCGTATGTCTTTTTTTTCTAGATTATTTCTCGACCATTTATTATTCGAGAACATGTCGAGAGGTCGCTAGATGATCGAGAATGGACTGCCTCGAAGTAGTCTCATGGAGATCAAATGGTCTTGAGGCAGCTAGATCTTAAGATCTACCGTCTCGAACTCCAAGAATAGGTGCTACTGTTTGAAATTAACTGAAAAAATAGTAACTATTCGAATTTTCAAAAAAAAAATAATCCTCGTGCCGAAAAATGGATTCGAACCACGTGTTAAAAATGTGTCGCATGTGTCGCACAAGAATGTGTCGTACATCCGCTGGAAGAAATGTGTCGCAACGAGCTCCTCGTGTCGCATATTAATGTGTCGTACATTGTGTCGCAAAGTGCGACACATGCGACACATTTTATCTTAGTGTGTGATTTCAATGCTTTAGTTATAAGGTACAGTATAACTGAACAAAATTTCAATAATGCATATTCAATAGCTTTATGATTGTTGATCAACGCAAGCAACGCAAAATCTTCATTTCAAAGGGGAACAACAAATGAATGTAAGCGTCATAAGAATGATTTATTTACTGTGTAATCTTTTTCTCACTGACCAATGCATCATCTTTCATGAAAATGATAGTAAATACATGTATGAAATTATGATTTTCTCAATCCTTCATTTATTACGTGTTGTTTGATCAACTGACCAACTCACAAGTTATGATTCAAGCTTTAAAATGAGATGAAAACATAAATGAACACGATCATTACAAGAGCTTTCAACGTTCTTATTATTCATTGGTCATATTATTGTTAATGAGCTATGATCAATGCAGCCATTGTTGCTCAAAAAGGATGAAATAAGTGAATAGAACTTTTGTTAGGATAATTCATTTGAAATGCAATGGTGGATTAATTAATGATTTTTCAATATGCGTCTCACGTTGATGACAATAAGTGAAGAGGATATTGATCATAGGCATTTGTTTATCATCTGAAACACGTACTGGTATTTGTAGCGAAAGTTCTGCTTCGAAATTGATCTGATTGAAGAATTGACAGTTCGCGCAAAGTGTCGTTGTTAAGTATCCTTTGCCATTCAATCTTCAAACAGTTGATCGAGTCACAACTTTTTCTTCAAAGTGTGCAAAAGAGTGAACATAAGTATCATTGTAAAGGTTTCTTGGGGATGTGATCTGCGATCAAGTGACTGAGTTTCAATCTTTGCTTCGAAGAGAGCAAAAGAAGTGAACAGAAGTATCTTGATGAATGATCCTATGCCATGTGATCTTCGTTCAGCTGACCGAGTCGTTACCTTCGTTTCGAAGTGAGCATAACCAATGAACACAAGTCTGTTTAGGAATGTTTCTTTGTCATATAATCTTGAATCAGCTGAGTAACTCGCAATCTTTGCTTCAAAATGAGCAACAGAGATGAAGAAAGTATCTTGATGAATATTCCTTTGCCATATGATATTGAATCAGACGCCAGAGTTACAATATTTTCTTCAGAATGAGAAAAAGAGGTAATCAGAAGTCTGTTTATGAACATTCTTACGCCATGTGATCTTCAGTCAGCTAACTGAGTCGCAATATTTGCTTCGAAATCAGCAAAAGAGGTGACCAGAAGTCTTATGAATAATGTTTCTATGCCATGTGATACTCAATGTTTCTTTGCCATGTGTCTTTCGATCAACTGGTCGAGTCAGAACCATTACATCGAAGTGAATAAAAGAGATGAACAAAAGTCTTCTAAAAAGTGTTTGTTTAGCATTTAACCTTGGACCAGCTAATTGAATGACATACTTTACTTGGAAGTGAGGAAAAGAGGTGAACAGAAGCCTTCTAAAGAATATTCTTTTGATATATGTTTTTCAACCAGTAGATTGAGTCAGAAGCATAGCATCGAAGTGAACAAAATAGGTAAACAGTACTTTGATAATGAATGTTTCTTTGCCATGTAATCTTCAATCAACTGACGGAGTCGAAACCTTTACATCGCAGCAAACAAAACAGGTGAATGGAACTCTTCTTGACAATGTTTCTTTGACATGCAATCTTGGATCAACTGACTTCATCGGACCATGTACTTGAAAGTGAACAAAATAGATGTGCAGAAGTCTTTTTAGAAATGTTCATTTGCTATGTGATTTTCGATCAAATGACCGAGTCAGCATCTTTTATTCAAAATAAGCAAAACAAGTGGAAAATAGGTTTTATGCCTTTGTGATGACAATAAATGTTAGTAAAGCTTTGAATGTGTAACACTTCAGTCACTATATGTTTGAAGAAGGGCGTTTTTCACCTTGGAGGCGACGAACATTGCTGCGCTCATGAATGCAAGCGTTGGAGGAACCAGTGGAAAATTCTTACTGGATCCAATACCGCTAGCTCTCGGCTAGTAGTGTCTACATTGTGTAGTATAAATTTTTATTGTATATAGTTAAGGCTGTAGCGAAATACATATATTGATTGACAAAAGGTTCGTCACTGGACAAATCAGTCTAAAACTAATGATATCTTATACCTTACTTCATTTCTGATCAATCACATTCTCTTCTCTCTTTGAGATGTGTGCTAAGAAATGAGTTTTTGTAAAATTATGTTGAAATAAAACAATTTCAAGCATTGAATGTTTTAGATTGTTGTATAGAATGTTTGATTATATTCTCGCTTGGAAATTCAGATACTTTTTTTTAAATCCATGATCTCTGATAATATGAATCAGATATTTCTCTGATCCCTCACGAGATGTATTAGCCAAATGATTTTATTCGAAAAAAAAATTTTACTATTTCTATCTTTACTCTGCCACTCGTTATATGTGATTGTTACTTTTTTTCTAGAGTTTTTTTCGTATGAAATGAAATCCTAAACCAAGAAATCATTGTAAATTCTAGTGTCAATCAAAATGTTTTATTGAAACCGATAAGACAATATTTCGTCATGTCAACAACCCATTCCATAGTCGTATTCTTGATATTAATTATCTCTTTGTATAATAGATCACTTTGAAAAATATTTTATTACGTAGTTACTGTTGTGGAACACGAGAAAAAAATGTCTATGCATGTGAAAACTTCTACACTCTCATGTCAATCATCGATTATCTCAAAAATATGTATTTGATCTATGAAATATAAATACGTTGACCGACATCTGATTTTGACATGTATACATATTAACTATGTATTTCAGTAAATAGTTCAAGTGAATATAAAATTTACAATTCTCGATTAAGATTATTTTTTCTTTATTGTAGCAACAACTATTCTCACTCCAACAACAATTACTACACAAACAATAAAAGAAACAAATTATGTAAAACATTATCGTTGATCTACATTCACATCGATTGAGCTTTTTTTAAAATTAAGTTTCAAAAATGTTTAGATATTAGTGACAATGTATTTGCTAGCAAAAGCAATACACACGAATAAAAGATGGAAAAAAATCATGATCCAATCAAAGAAAATTGACAATATAACTTGATAATGTTCCTATTGGATCATATTGAAAAACCAACCATATTTTTATGTTTGATAAAAAAAGAACAAACTAACATGTTGATGCTCATTCATAAACAATTTCATGCTTTTCATTTGGAATATTTTTTTATGAAAGAAAAATTAAGAATCTATCTGATTGAGAACTTTCGATTTAATATTTTTCAGATAATCGAACATAGACACACGTAATAATAAATTCAAATTAAATATAATTTAAAATAAACTCAAAACTGCACTACATTAAAATAATTCTATTATATTTAAATTAAAACAAATTTTGAAGTACGTATCTATAACAAAAATTGAATTAAATTCCAATATTTCTCGTGAACCAACATAATCATATTCATTTTTCATTAGTAATTATTTTCTGATCTCTAATCCAGTATCTTTTAATCAATCTCGACTAAAAATATGAATCACAGCGTCTGAGAAAATTAGAGCAAGAAAGGCTAATTTAAATATATTTTTATTTCAGATGCTGGCCATTCGTCTTTTTAGACGAATGCCGGTAGTGACTGCTAATATCAAACGTACGTCTTGTCTTCGATTACTGGCTGGTATAACAAGTGGTGGTAGTCTACTAACAGTAGCATGGAAACATTATCGTGTGCATGCTTCTGCATCACCAAAACAAGATTCTATTAAAATACCATCAATTATACATGAAGTAGAAAGAAAACAAATATCATCATCAGATAAATTTGATTGGAAAATCTTCTGGTATTATTTACGACCACAAATATGGGTCATAGCTTGTGCAACAGCCGTAAAAATTATTCTTTTCTTTTTTAGTACATAATATGAACTTCTCTTTTTTTGTCTAGGCAGCTCTTGTGGTTGCCTATTTAAATGTAGCTATACCATTAGAACTGGGAAATCTGATTAATGTAGTATCTAGTTTAATTACTTCTTCATCTTCATCAGTAGACTTTAAACAGATGTTATCTAAACCCACGTTTAAACTTATTGAATTATACATATATCAATCAATAGCTACATTTGAATATATAACTCTTTTATCAATAGCTGGTGAACGTATGGCTGCTGCAATACGTCGAGATCTTTTTCAAAATATTCTTAAATTAGATATGGAATTTTTCGATAGAACAAAAACAGGTGAAATTATGGATAGGTAGGTTGATAATATTATCTTAATATCAATTATATTTGTAAATTAAAGATTAACATCAGATGTTCAAGAATTTAAATCAAGTTTTAAATTACTCATTTCACAAGGCATGCGTGCATCAACACAAGTACAAAACATAAAAACAAATTGAATAATAAATATCTATATTCAATTTTTAATTATGCAATCTAGATTGTTGGTTCAGCCGTATCTCTCTATTGTATTTCTCCAACATTAGCTGCATTAGCTGGTCTTGTTATTCCAAGTATTATTGCAGGTGGTACATTATTCGGATCATTACTACGTCAACTTTCACGACAAGCACAAGCACAATTATCAATATCGACTGGTATTGCTTATGAAGCTCTATCAAATATTCGAACAACGCGAGCATTTGGTGCTGAAACAAAAGAACATGAGTAAAATATTAAAAAATTGTTTTTTTCGTTTATATGGACAATATTTTTTCTAGAATGTTTCAAAAAGAAGTGAATAAAGCTCGTGATCTTAATATACGATTAGGTGTTGGTATAGGTATATTTCAAGGTCTTAATAATTTAGTTATGAATGGTATAGTATTGGGTACAATTGCTCTTGGTGGTCAATATGTTTCTCAACAACGATTATCAGCTGGTGATTTAATGGCATTTTTAGTTGCAACACAAACTATACAACGATCATTAACACAAATTTCAGTTTTAATTGGACAAGCAATACGAGGAATGTCAGCTGGTGCAAGAATACATGAATATCAAAAATTAACAAGTTATATTCCACTTCAAGAAGGTACTCGAATACCTTATCATTCTATGCTTGGTCAGGTTCAGTTTTCGAATGTTTCATTTGCTTATCCAACACGACAGCAACAGGTTCAATTCGTTGATCGATTGAAATAAAAATACATTCTTTTATTTATTTTTCTAGATCATTCTAGAAAATTTTAATTTTACAATTCCATGTGGTAAAACTGTTGCGTTAGTTGGTCCATCTGGATCAGGTTAATAAAAGAAAAAAGAAATACATATAATACATATGATTGTTTAGTTTAGGTAAATCTACATTGTGTTCATTACTTGTACGCTTTTATGATCCATTGGATGGCAAAATAACTATTGATGGAAAAGATATTCGTAAATTTAATGCAACATGGCTTCGATCGAATGTTATTGGAATGATTAATCAAGTAAGAAATTAAAATTAGCTGACTGACGGAGACACTCAAATCGATATTTGCTGTTTAAGATCATTTTTCTGATCGTACTGGCTTTCTAGACTAAAAAACATTTTACCTAGATCGTTCTGAATCTATTCAAGTTATATAGCATCTTGAATTAAATATAAGACAATAATCTTTTCTGTTTTTCAAAAAAAAACAAGAATAAAGTAAAATTATCTGATTTTGGAGGTTTTCACATTCTTTCAGTGTGAAAGCGATTGATCAGTTGACAGCGTTCCCTCGTGAAAAGGCTCTTCATTCTTGGCCTTTCAAACTGAGTTATGACTGTTTTACTAAATTTTCAACTAATTGTTAAGTATCTACTAAAAAATCAAATTTTGAAATTTCGATCCTAGATTTTGCTCATCGATATCTGTATGAATTCTTAGGATGGCCTGAAAATATCAGCCCAAAAAAATGTTCTTTTCTCGAGATATTGAATTTAAAAAAAAATAGTCCTTACAATTGAAATTTTTGAGGATATTCTATGATTCATTAGATCTATCTATGAGCAAAGTTTCAGATCGAACGCTCTCAGAATTGCGGCGCTGATCTCATCAAGGGTTCCTTGTAGATCTAATATAAGCTCAAACGAAGAGCACTACTAAAAATGGTTCCCTCGTTAAGTGTTACTTTTTTTTCTCATTCATTTAGGAACCAACATTATTTTCAACAACAATAATGGAAAATATTCGTTTCGGTAAACCAAATGCAACCGATGCTGAAGTTTTTGAAGCAGCTAAATCAGCGATGGCACATGATTTTATTCAATTATTTCCTGATGGATATCAAACTGTTGTTGGTGAACGAGGTGTAACTGTTTCTGGTTTGTTTGTTCGTTTGTTTTTCTTGAGTGTTTATCTATGGTGCTTTTGCCATCGATTATTTTAGGTGGCCAACGACAAAGAATTGCTATGTAAAAACAAACTATATTTTATTTATTTGATTTTTAAACATTTTCTTTCTTTTTGTTTTGTTTAAAGAGCTCGAGCTTTGCTTAAAAACCCATCAATATTAATTCTTGATGAAGGTAAAAATTTTAATAGACTTTTAAAATATTATATACCTTGTTTTTATTTCATTTTAGCTACAAGGTAATCAAAAGACAAATCTATTGTTAATAATCGTACTATTTTAGTGCACTTGATGCTGAATCTGAAAAACAAGTTCAATTAGCAATTAATAACGTTGCAAAAGGTAAATCTTTATTTAGTTTGAAACTTTATCAAATATGATTTTTATTCAATGAAAAATCAAAAAAAGTTGCGTCTTACTTATTTATTTATTTTAACATAAAAGAATTTTTGACGAAACAAATATTTTGCGATAATTTCTATTTTCACATAGCAATTAGAATTTATTCATTTTATGTAATGTTGTTCACTATTAAATCAATGATCAATTGATTAGCTTTATAATTATAAATGAACCATAGATGCAATTCTTTACTATTCATCTAGAGTTGAGATGATAATGCATGTACAAAAGCTTAAGCCTTTTATCGAGTAATCATGATAGACATTACTTTATGTATAGTCTTAGACAAAAATAGCTGCTTTCATGCAGTGCTACTATACTGTATACATGTGACAATAAACTCTGATCGCAAGCACTAATCCATGTTCCATCGATGCATACATCTTCTTTCCCTTGTGCAAACCATATTCAGCAGAAATACGCACACAAAAAAGCTTTTGTTTGTTGTTTTGCTGTTCCAGAGGTTCTTACTTTTTTCTAGCACCTAAACTAGTCCTGTATGTCTATTTCATTATTAATAAAGCTTGGGACTCATAATCAAATTCTTAGTAATTAGCACGCTCTGAAATAGTGAATTCATGCCCTAGCGCTAGTGCGACTTCATTCAATGCTACAACTCTAAAACTTGCAGAAGCGTCACATAAGAATTTTCTACAAAAATTTTCAAATGAAATGGTCGAAAATATCGTGGGAAAACGTCCATATTACTGAAAACCAATATTTATGACATTAGACTTTCAAATGAAGAATCAGGCAAAAATATTTGTGCTCACATGACTAAGATATCACAAGAATAAGAAGATATTTAATATCTAAAATATTAACTCACTATCATAAAAAATTAGGATAATTTATGTAGAAACAACAACTTTTGTCCAGGACTATATATATTTTGACAATACTCAGCTTATAATTGAAATTAAATGTTTCATATTTAAAAACATTGCTATGTTTCTTCTTTAAATAGGTCGTACAACATTAATAATTGCTCATCGATTGAGTACAATACGTAATGCAGATATTATTGGTGTTATGTTGCATGGAAAACTTGTTGAGGTTAAACTTTGATATTTAAAAAGAAAAACAAAATTTATTTGATTTTATTTTTTAGATGGGTACGCATGCTGAATTAATTACTAAGAAAAATGGTGTTTATGCTGAATTAATGCGTATTCAACAGTCTGGTATTGATATACTTTAGGACTTTTGTTTTTTTTTTATAACCTACTTGTTTTCTAAATAAAATAAAGATAAAAAAAATAGTTATGTATCTTGTTTTTTGTTTTATGTTTAGTTCTTATCTTAATATTCTTTAAGAAAAAGATATGCAGAAAATTAAGTCCAGTTCACATACTTTCTTTCTCTGTTTTTTCTTTGTCAAAGATTGTTGTTAAATTTGTTCGATGAAATCTGAGACTAGTGAATCTGTGCTTATCATATCACCGAATCAGACAAAGCCAGCATATGTATTATATCCACAACGATTTTATGTTTTATTTATGTTTTCATTTCTTGCTTTTAATCAATGTCTTATGTGGTTAACATTTTCACCAATTGCAAGAAGTGCTGAAGATTATTATCATATTAGTGAAGCTACTGTTGATCTTCTTCTTAATTGGGGACCAATTATTTTTATTCCATGTTTACCATTAACTTATATATTATTAAATAAACATCATGGACTTCGACGTTGTGTTGTGTTACTTGCAATAACTGATTTCATTGCAGCACTTGTTCGTGTTATTCCAATTGTTATTACAACACCATCAAGTCCAAATTTTAGTACAATTTCATTGACATTTTTACATGTTGGTCAAATATTAAATGCAGCTTGTGGTCCATTGGTTATGGCACCTGTTTCACAACTTTCTTGTCTTTGGTTTGCTCCTCATGAACGAACACGTGCAACAACAATTGCTGTATTTGCTAATAATTTTGGTGCGACTATTGGTTTTGTAATTAGTCCATTTATTGTTTCATCATCAAATTATGTTCCTCACCTCCTTTTTGTTCATTTTGGTCTTGCATTTATAGCCTGTATTCTTGCTCTTCTCTTTTTTCCTTGTCAACCACCAAGTGCTCCATCAGCAGCTGCTGAATTACTTATTCATCAATCGATACATGAGCATAAAAATAATTCATGGATAAAATTTCTCAAAGATATTTGGCATTGTTTCACAACACCATCATTTGTACTTATATCAACAGCTGGTGGCCTTCTTTCTGGTACATTTGGTGCATGGACAGGTTTATATGATATTATTCTTAAACCTGAACATTATACTGAACAACAAGCTGGTAAGTATGAAAATTCTGCTAAGAAACTCACACTATATATTTCGAGCCTAACTAAAAACACTTCCATAACAACACAGGATACTAGGTCTGGAATGGTATTAGAGATGAGACTTCGGAGAGAACATATTTAACTGTCTATCATCAATCGAATTTACATTCTACTCCTAATTAGCCTTTAGTAACATTAGGAAAAGTCTGAAAGAATTTCTCTGCAGAGACTTTATAGAGTTATGACCATTTTATCAGATTCCCGCTTTGTAGCAAAGTATTCATAGGTAAATCAAGACGAAATTATTTTGACTTGAACTTTTGCCCATAAATAGGTCTCTTAATATTTAGAATATTTTGAAAGTTTCGATCAAAATGGATCGTTCCTTCTGAACATATTCGATATTCAAAATAACAAGCATACACTACAAAAAGAAATCATCAAGTCAAATTTTCTTCAGTATTTATTACATCGAGAAGGAATCATTTGCTTTGGCTGAAACCTTCACATTATTCTAAGTTTCAAGAAACTTATTTATGGACAATACTTCACATAAAAACTTCTTAGTTTTGATTTTTATAATGAATACCTTGCCATACGCTAAAAAGTCAGATAAAATGGTGATAACTCCATAAAGACGATCTATGTGGAGAAATTCTTTCAGACTTTTCTACTTCCACTGAGTTATATTTATGAGCAAAGGAACACTTCAATCGGCTGGAATACGTTTTCCTGAATATTCTAAAGAGTACAATTTTTGATTTTTGCCTAGATAAAATTTTACATTCAAGATGTCAAGGATGATAGGTAGTGATGCATTGGTTTGCTACGGTCGTAGATATGAGCAAGATGATCATCAAGCCAAGTCGAAAAAAGACTGCTCCTACTTATCTTTTCACAGTCGTCATATTTATAAAAATGAAAAAAGGCATCGAATAGCAATAAAACAAATAAAAAGAAAGAACACAGGGAACTTCCACATTTCAACTTCAAAGGAGATATGGTGATAAGCGGTTTTTTTGTTAAAGGATGGTTTGGTTTTGGTTCATCAATAGCTGGAATTATTGGTGGATTATTTTTAAGTTCTCTAGCTGATACCCGCCGTTTTCAACATTCATTAAAAGCTCTTATTATGATTTCATATATTGCTTGTTTATTTTCTATTCTTTGGTTTGAATTATCTGTTCAATCATATTTTTTTGATAAACCAATTCTTCCATCAAATGCTGCTACTATTGGTTTATCAACGGCATTAGCTGGATTATTTTCAGGAGCTGCATCCCCATTAATATATGAAGCTGTTGCTGAAATAATGTTTCCTTTGCCTGAATCATTATCAGCATCGATTCTTGTTCAATGGGTTAATGTAGCAGCACTTATTTTGTTATTTATTGCTCCTAATCGAAATAATTTAATGAATTTACTTGTATTAATTGTAATGATTATTTGTATTTTAATGATAATGTTAGCACGATTTACTTATACAAGACGTGACGAAGATGAAAGAAAACGACTTGAAAAAGAACAACAAATCTTAGATCAAGATAGTTTAAATCCATGTAACAATAGCATTCTTAATGAATCACAATATGGAACATTTTCATAAATTCATAAGTTATTTTATTATTTCAATATTAACTAGACATTTTAAAAAAATTTTAGTTCTTGTTTTTTTTTATACGGAACTTAAAGTCCATAAAAAAAAACAAAAAATTAATCCATAAATAAAAGAGTTAACTGTTTATGTTGTTGTCGATTTGATACTTCTATTAGCAGAGATATAAATACTCGTAGAGGAAATAAAGTAATATACAGGTACTCCAAAAAGTACCCGCACACCCCCATGTTTTTTTTTGTACTTCTTGGTTCGCGAAGCAGAAACAAGAGATAAAATTTTTCTTTCTTCATTGAAATATTATGCCAACAGATAGCGCTCACTTTGCTCGCTCTAGCGGTGTGTAAATAATATAATTCTGATGTGAGAAAAGAGAGCATCTAACATATTGAAAAATCGGACATTTTCATGAGAAACGTTCTCGTAATCCGAGATGATAGTTAAAATTGCTGATTTTTATAGAGAAGCTAGTTCGAAGTAAGAACCATCCACTGGTGAACTAAGAAAAATTTTATCTCTTGTTTCTGTTTCGCAAACCAAGAGATACGGAAAAACAGGGGGGTGTCCCGATACTTTTTTGGAGTACCTGTATGTTATGTCAAATTTGGATCTATATAAAAGGATAAGAATGAAAACCGATTCAATCATAATCGAGCAATTTATTGTACTTGAGAACGGTTCACCAAAGTAGAAAGTGATTTTGTTTTACTAAGAGAATTCGTTTTCAATGCAAAATCGTTTATAGATGATGAGAAAGCATATTATGAAGTAATTAAATATATGAAGAGAAAAATGAACTATGAAAAAGATGAACATACATTATCATGATGGAAAAAGCCATTCATCTGTGTATTCACAACTATGATGTTTGATGCAAATACTGTCTCCACCATTTCAACACTTCATGAGCTACAAGAATAAGTATACTTAGCCAAACTAATCGGATTTTAGAAGCAGAAAGACATCAAATGAATCCTAAATTACTTGATTCAGTTGCTTTTGTGTGAGATTTAATATGATCTGTTTTTTTTTTGTTGCTGTTCATGAAAGAAACGAAACAGCATACGTTTTCATACAAAATAAACGTTTGAAAACTGTACTATGGCTGTGAAAATATCTTTCAGATGTCGATTAGCTTCAGTTCATATGCGACCGGATGCTGACTCTAGCTCTTCTAGTCTAATTCAGGTCCAGATGAAAAAAAAATTGTAGTTATACAGGACTACTGTCAAAGAAGTTTGCTTACTTTTGGCCATTCTATATTTGTACACTGTTAAACAAATTATTACATCTAGTTACTGATTATATGCTGCATTTTTAATCAATATTAGAATCCTACTGGCCAGTCTCTATACAGTATTGATAAAAACTAACTGGTTAAACAGATCGTTCTATTGCTAACACCAGTTATTTCATGTTTTGTATGATGGTTCCATAAGTACTACGCTAATAGCTTGTTTTTTTTAAACAAAAACACCGCTAGTTTCTCATATTTAATTATATATAACTTCTTACTTTAATAATTTTTTCCCTGCAGGCTGATAAGTAGAGAAGAAAACATAAGCCAAAAAAAGTCAGGTAACATTAAGCAGAAAAAAGTGAAGGTCTTTTTTTGTTATCTTCGTTTATTTTTCATAGATTTTAACTAATCGAATATAATTAATTTTTTTGTAAGACACAGAACATCAGTGAAAATTCTTTTCAGGTTACATCAAATCAATGTGTTAACGAGTAAATGAAATGGGCTACTATTCGTATATTCAACAATGCAAAAATATCAAACATTACTCATGTGATTGAAACGAGATAAAAACTGCTGCTATTCACTGATATGCTGCTATTTTTTTGTCCAATCGGTAGTCTACTACCGGTATATCGGTGATAGTGCCAACAAATATGCAGCACGGATAAAATACTTCCGGCTGATGAAAGTATCCTTCTAAATCTCTCACTAAATTGAATCAGTTAAAAGTATCATAAATTATTTCATTTTTTTACATTAGTGTGAAAGAAAAGTTAAATTTAATATGAATACTAATTCTTTTGTTCAAATCATTTCTGGTTCTTACTTTATGGTTTTAGTCCGTTCTAAAAATAAGTTATTTCTCTCGGCTAAAATCACAAATGTATGGTTCGTAATGATCACTGCTATATAATTGACTATTTTTAACTTTAATAATCGAAATTGTCTGAATTACTAGAATATAAATCGTATAGATGATTTTAATTCATTTGAAATTTATCAGTGAAGTTTGTGTGTCTTATGGACAAAAGTACAGTCTTTTATATTTAGTGGAAAATCAACCTCACAATATATTTGACACATACAATGCGTAAAAAAAAATTAGTCAAGAAAACATAATTTTGTAATATTGAACAGATTTTTTTCAGAGGAAAGTCAGAAATGCATTTGTAAATAGGGAAAAAAAAGTAATAAAGATGCTTGCATTTTATTTTTCCACTTTTATTAATTATTAAACTTCATTGTTCATTAATGCAGCTTTTTTTTTCAAGAAAAAAAATCGGTGAATAGAGTATCTGTTAGATTAATATACGATGGAATATTTTTCTTTGTGCCAGAAGAGACAAGATGACATGTATTAATCCTTTTTCTTGTTACTCTATTCTAAGGTGTAATAAATAATATTAGCTGATATAATTTGAGTGAAGAAAGAAGCCTCAAACATCTTGACTATAAAATTCAATACTACTTCAAAAATTTTTATCATCGTAAGTTTTTACAAAAATATCAACTTGATTGTTTATGAAATTATTACTTATCTTAGTTTTTGAATAGATAATAAATTTACTTGTCACAACTGGTTACTGTTTCTAGTACATATTCATTAATGTGAAGGAGAATAAATTCCTTTAACGTGATGCAGAGAACAAGTGTGAAATGGTATCGAATGCATATATGACTATGTCGACACAACAATTTCCTATAGCCATGCATAATTTATCAAACAAATTTGAGAACACTATTTTAATAGATGAATTTCAATATTCGATAAATGATTCGAATAATACTTTAAATGATAGAAAACCATTTCGAAGTGAAACTGGCGATATAATTCAAATACCTGTTTTTACACTCATTATTATTTTTGCTTTTGTTTATATAATACTTGTTTTAAGTCGAAAAATTCTTCGAACAAACCAATTTACTTGGTTAACAATTAACATATCTGTTTCATGTATATCATTTTCTTTTGAACATTTATTATCAATTATTATGTTTTTAAGTAATCCATCAGACACAATACTATCATGCCGTTTAAAAGGTTTTTTTATGCATATGAGTGCACATCATGTTATGTATGCACATTGTATTGCTTCATTTTGTCGTGTACTATCAATTCAATATCTTCATAAACCATTATTTCGATCAAGTCGTTGGATATTGGGAAATATCATCGTAGGTTGGCTTATTGGATTATTTGCTACATTACCTTACTTATTTTTTGATGAAGCTACATGCTTAGTTCATAATGGTGAAGAATTTCTTGAAATATATGCTTGTTTCTCTATAATACTTATACCAATTACTATTGTAACTATATGTAATATTGTAACATTTCGATATGTACGATTATCGAGTAAACGTATACATCATTTAAAAGGCAACAATACAAATCAACTTGGCAAACGAGAAATGTATTTATTTAAAACAATGTTATTAACATTTTGTATATATGTTATTGGTGCGGCACCAATTTTGATCGAACAAGTATTTGTTCACGATGAAAATTATTTGCCTTCTGTTGTATCAAATATGTTTCATGTTTTACCAGCAATATCTCTTTTAGCTCATGTAATATTACTTATTTATTCAGATCAATCAGTTCGGAATATAATTATAAAAGCATTGCAATTCAATGAAAAATTTTTATGTATTTTTAAATCTTAATTCATAAATATTGTCTTGTTTGTAAAAATAGATAAATACAAATTAATCTTCTTATGAAATATCATTGATCTATGTCTTTTGTGATCAAAACATGAATGTTGCTTTTCAAATAGTAGCTCTACGACATTTAGAAGCCTAGTCACAGATAGAAATGTGCAAGACCATTTTTTTTTATTTCCAGTCCCATAACGGTTCATCTGAATAACGTCCAAATTAAAATGTAAAAAACAAACAACCTTTCTATTGTTTGAAATTACGAGTAGTAGACACTTGAATCAAATATATAAAACATTTGAAGGAAGTTGAAACTAACAGTGAATATATAGAGTGTGGGATATGAGGCATGGACATCAATGACTTTCTACTCACTTCTGCTGCCATCATGTTCCCAAAATTTTCTTGATTTTGTTTTGATTTCCATGTCAAATAACAAGATGTGGACATCTAAGTTATTGAAATCTGTACAATTCATCCATTTTCTTCAATCGTTAATCTCGACAAATCTAATCTATTTCCGGTCGCAGCCTATAGAAAACTATTTCCGAAATTATTTGTCTCATATCTAAAAAAATAATTCTGCAGTGCACGTTCTTGAATTTTTTTTAATCAATAACTAGTGTTTTTTTCAGTCATGTCTATTGATATATGTTCTGATTAATATGATTTATAAAAAAATTCGTTTAAAACTAGAATATTTACCTAAAATCTTTAATTCTGTTGAGGATACTTTTTTCTCGTAATCTCGAGTTTCGGTCACTTCTCTTTCTCGTGTCTCAGATTCCACACATCTCTAATCATAGAGACACTATCTGGAAAGCAACGATCATGAATTCATTATTTTTCTGTGAATTCAAATAATTAATTCAAAGACAAATTAATTGTTAAAGTTTCTAGATAATGACCTTGATAGTTCATTTAAAAATAATTAATTTTATAAAACAAATTTTAAATACAAAAAAAAACAATCTATGCCGATCTATGACAAGCAATTAAATTTAAGTATGAAAGATAATGAATGAATCAAAAACATTGAAAAAAAAATATTCCTTCTTTTTTCGTCCGATTACGAAGGCTAACAAAAGTTTTTTTTTTTTTGATTTAGCATCAAAATTTTGTTTTCTTTAAAATAAGTCTAAAGATCGAAATTGTAATTGTATCCTGTGTAAAATTTATCTCATGATGTTACTCAGCGATTTTTCACGGTACTTTCTTATTTCCGTCATCATGACACGCAATTTAGCTTAATTTCACTTCTTTTTGCTTGATTGCATCATGCTTTAAAACTTTCTAAATCAACACCCACGTAATATACGTTCGTCATAAGAGGTATATCTTATTTTTGATTATCTTTTATCATGAAGTTTTTTACATAATATAAAGACCGAACAAACATTCTATAAAATGAGCTATGAGTCAAAAATCTAACAATGATGTTTTAGACATGATCAAGCTCATTTGTAAACCAAATAGTAAACCTATCACTAAGTTTTCTCTAAAACTCTCATTTTTGACAGGTGTCTTGCAGAGAACTAATTATCAAGAATTAATACCCTACGGCAATCTTTGCCCTTACTTGTAGCGTATTTGAAATAAAGTTGTTTTTGTGCCCTGCACAGTTTTCTTGTGCAATTAAATGCGTTCAAATTTCATTGACAATCTTTATAAAGATTCACTCATAATTTTTAATTTAGAAATCTAATAAAAGCTTTCGAATCTGTATTCGGAAAAAGCACATCATTTTGATATTGCTTAAAATTTCTTTTAGGTCTCGTAATCTATCGAAAAAATGAAAGAATTTTTGCCTTAGAACGTTCAGGATACTTGTTACTATATATAAATAATAATATCAACTTTCAGTTTTGATGAATAAGGAAATTTTTTCTGTTGTTTATAAATAAACACTAATTTAACTGAATACTTATCTCTATCAATTAAAAATTTATAACATCATTCGTATCATGATTTAATTATTTATTTTGACCAATGATTAATTTTGTCGAATTATCAATATTAGTTACTCAATGATTATAGAACTAGTGGATAGATAACGAAAACTATTATTAAAAATAATAATTTTAGACGATTTTAAAAGTTTTTCTGAAACAGAATCAATTAAGATTGTCATATTTACTAAGGTTTACTCTCATAAAAATTTTTAAGAAAATTTCTAATTAATTGAAAATTTATTTCATTATTCCATTAGATTTCAATGATGTATTTATATTTTTTATTTTATTATGTCAAAGTCAATTTTTTTTATTGTTGATAGTCATATCGAGACAAGAAGAAAGAACAATATTGATTATATAATGATAATGTTTCTTATGTCGATATCTCAGCATAAATGTATTTCATTTATAGTTTATCCAAAAAGTGGTCCTCTTCTTTTCGAATCAATCCATCTTGGTCGATTTAATAATGCCAAAAGTAAACGTTGTTTATTAAGTTTCATCAATTCATTTTCATCATTACTATATATATCATTTGTATCATTTTTAGATAAATCGGAATCATCATCATTTAATATTGACATGATTGAACGACCCATAAGTGGAGCTCGTAAACGTCTAGCAGCATGTGGTTTTGCTGTTTCAATATCAGAATTTGGTAAAAAGGAAACAAATGATGAAACACTTAGTGTTTGCTAAAAACTATTAACATTAATATCATTATGATAATTATCATCTTAACCTTACCTGTAAAACCAGAAGACATACGATACAAAAAATTATAATAAGCTGCATGTTTATGATTATGAAGTTTTAGATCTAAAGAAAAAAAAAAGGACAAGATATTGTCAATTGAAGTCATACTTTAACTTCACTAACATTTTCTATTAACTAAAAGAAAAATTCCAGAAAAAATGTCGCTTTTTATATGAAATAATAACAGTCAACAAATGTTTTTTTTTTGTTCAGATCCCATGACATTTAATTCAAAAAGATAAACAGTAAGCAGACTTCCTAATTCGATTATATTCGGTTGAATAATAGAAGTAGAACAATTGAAGAACTAGAAAATTAATTTGCACTTGAATTAAATGCATTTATCGTAAAAGACATGTTTCTTAACATTGTAAAGATATAAAGCAATTAACAACTGTAATACTTTTCTTTGCTTGCTATAAATATATAGATGTCAAACATACGAATAGTTGACTTAACCAAACAGTAAACTTGTCGTCTCAATATTTTATCAGCTTTACATGACTTATTCATCTTTTAGTGAATATAACTAGAAAAAGTTTTTCATTTGCATTTTTGTGCGTCAACTTTATTCACTATACATCTTATTAAATCAATATACGTTTTCATTTTCGGTGTATAGAATTTCAAACTGTTTATTGAAGGATTAAAAATGCCATGTTGTCAAACTTCATGATCAAGAATTTATCATATAGTTTTTCATATTAGAAAAATGAAATTTTGGTCGAATTTTATAGTAAATCAATTTAGTGTTACTTTTCGTTAAAAGAATATTAAATAAATTCAAATTTATTTTTTTTTCTTTGAAAATATAATGAATTCGAAACATATCAATAAAAAATTTTTTTTTCTGTATTACAATTAATTAATACTTCGTTGTTGTTTATAGAGATATATCATGCTATAAAAAAATATAAATTATGTGCACTTACCGATACATTTGTTTTGCTAACGAGTTCATTCCATGCAATGATTTGGGAGAAATTCTTTTCTACACTTGAAGACTTGTGAAAAAAGTCTATTGTATCAATCACTAATTTATTATATGGAATCGAATTTAACTTTTGAAAAATTGTAAATCGTAAAAAACTCAAAAAGAAGCTTTTTTACAATGTCAAATAAACAGACCAATTTATGTAGAACTAATTCAACCATAAACAATAGGATCATACTTGAGTCAGTGGAACTCAACATAGGTAGAGCTTGTGATAAGAAAAGAATTATTATAGGTTATAATTAAGAACTTTTGAATTTGATTTGTCATAGTTCGAAAATTATCAAGATATAAATAGATTGAAAACTATGTCAAATCTTATATGATAAAATGCTTGAGCAATATTTTTCTATATGTTGTCTAAATAAATGATCGATGTGAATCTTTAAAAAAAGAAATATTCAAATCTTATGATTCAATATCAAAAGGTTTTTCTCTTGTATATTCAACGATATTTCCATATGTAAAGAATATCATAATGAAGACTGAAATGTGAATATTGATCAATGGAGAAAATATTCTTATGTCATTACGTACATTTTCTTTACAGAAAGAGATAAATTAATAAATAATAATTACTATTTTCTTCTTTCTATCGTCTAGATAAGATAAAATAATGCTTTATTTAATTGAAAATAATATTTTTATGAAACGAAATCATTTATGTATTGAGAATTTTTTTGTTATTGGTATTAGTAGAAAAGATCAGATACTTGATCAGACTGCAGCATGAGTCATACTTCATTTTTTTGACCTTGTAACAGTCAAATCAAGATTTAAATTAACCATTTCTGCATCCTAATTCATACAAGAATGATATAAAAATTCTTTGTTATTGCTGATTACTATTTGTTTCGATAATTTGTTTTTTTTTACCTCATGGGGTCCATTGATGGCCAGAAAACTTTCAGGGACTACAAATAGTATATAGATTTTCCACATTCATTAAAAGTTCGTTAGACACAACCATTATTTATTACTGGTATATTTTATCTACTTCGCACATTATAATCACTTTGCTATTTCTCAAATCTGTACGAAATATATCCTATTAAAATAATATTGAAAATATAAGTAACCCTATAATAACTGCAATGCAAAACGATTATTCAATTTTATTTTAAGAATACAGCTTAAAAGAAAAGTAGGTCAATATGTTAGGTCTAACCGAACTAGTTGTTCACTATTACTGATTTGAACTGAGATAATAAAAGCAGATATTCTAAAATTCTATAAGAGAGTATGAATTCATATACAAATGTTGTACCTATCAATCATGCATTCAATTTTAACTAAATTCAATCATCTTATATAAATGATTCATATCCTTAACCATAGTTAAGAAAAGGAAAAACAACATATTCAAGAGATAAAGATAATAATAATGTTATATTGTAAGATAATTTGAATAATAACTTTTGTGACGTTAACAATGAGAAAAAAAATAATATATATTCTAATTGAAATATAATTCAATAAACACTAAATGAACTTGTTTAATTTCTTCTATTAATAAATAAATAATGCAACAGACGTTGGAAGAATGTTGAAATTCATGCTTGAACTATGTAACATTTTGGCCTACATATGAAATGATATGTATCATAGCTTAGATCTGGATTATATCAAATCGTTGATTGCTACCAACTATAATATGTAATTGAATATTTATGAGATTATTTGTAGCATAAACTGTAATATTGGGTGTCACAAAAGTTTTGCAACATAGTTTGGTTTGCGAATATCTCGGCATAGACACATGGTAACATCTTGGTTTTTTTTCAAAAGATATGCCATGAAAATTTTCGTGTTCCCAGTCAGGCAAGCGTTACAAAAAACGACGTTTTTACGCGTAAAAAGCGCACATTTTAACGTTTTATGCAATTTGTTTTTTTTTCGGAAAATAAAGGAAGCTTGTGAATGTCCACATTGTGAAAATCATTTGATTCGAAGAAAAAAACGTCTTTTAACGCGTAAAAACGCCGTTTTTTTTTCGATTTCTGTCTGACTGGCTATGGAAAAAGAAAACACCAGCGCAAGGTCATAGAAATTTGTTTATCCAGTTTTTGTAGAGTTTTTTACAGCGCATCTTTTGAAAAAAAAAATCAAGATTTTACCATATATCTAAACAGAAATATTAAAACAAACTATATATGTTGCAAAACTTTTGTAACACCTGGTAACATCGTGTTTTTTTTTATGTGCTATGTTCGAATCATCACAAAATTTCATATACAATGTCAATAGGGAAACATTTGATACACATCACAGTAACATGATTTATGTTTTAAAAAATATTTATTCATGTTAATCATACAGATATTCGATCTGAGATTTGAAAATAGTTATTTTTTTTTTAAATCAAAATATTTCTTTCGACGATTGTATACGTGTGTTGGCATCAATAAAACATTGGAAATATGCGTTTCATGATTCTCTTCATAATTCTAATCTTAGCAATAGTGAAAAACTCTTTTGCAGGTTAAGAAAAAATTACAATCTTCAATAATATTTACAATTACTATTTATTTCTAGTTCAATGTAATACTAATCCTTGTCAACTAGGTGGTTATTTCAACCCACCTAACTATAATTGTATTCAATTATTAAATGAACCCAATGTTATTTGTACATGTCCTAATGGACAAGGACGAAAAAATACTCCATGTCGTAAGAAATATTTTTTCAAGGTTTGATATCTGATAATTCAGTTGAAATATCTCTAGGTGTTTGTGATCATGTTCATTGTGGTCCCAATGGAGTTTGTATTGAAGCAGATTGGTTTCCAAATTCATTTTATGCTTGTTCATGTACGACTGGTACATATAATTATGTTACTTCAGAACCATGTTCAGGTATTACTCCAACAGCAACTCCAACAACAACAACTCCAACAACAACAACAGTAACTCCAACCACAACTGTTTCTTCTACTTTAGTGCCTATCCATTGTCTTAATGGTGGTAGGAAAAGATCTTGGCAGTAAAACTATATTTTATTTGGAGCGAATTTAGGTGTTTATAATGTCGCAACAGCTACATGTATTTGTCAAACTGGTTTCGCAGGATTTCAGTGTGAAACATCTATTGGTATGGTATTTTTTTTTTCGTTTGTTATTAATATTGTCTGTATAGGTCAAGAACTTTGTCGAAAAATAACTTGTGTTAATGGTGGTGTTTGTAATCCCGTACCTACAGCTAATAATGGCATTGAAGCACAATGTTGGTGTCTAAACGGTATAGAAAGTTTACAATATAAAAACACATGAGTAAATATTATTCATAGGTTTTTCTGGTTCTAATTGTGAATTGATCGGTAGATATTATTGAAATTATTTCATATAAGTAGTTTAGTTATTATTTTAATATGTAGGTACACAGGGTGGATGCCACTCGAATCTTTGTCAAAATGGTGGTGTATGTGAAGAAAGAAAACTTGGCGCTTCACTCTTTGCTTATTGTCAATGTCCGCCTGGTTTTAGTGGACGATACTGTGAAAGACGTAAGAGAGAAACAAGACATGTATCTTATTATTAACTTCTTTTTTTTTATTTTGTATAGATTATTTTACATGTTCTCATTCGGGTTTATTTGAAGATTCGGTTAATTGTAGATTTGGTCGATATTTCCAGTGTGTCGATACAGTTGCAATAATACGTTCATGTTCACGCGGTTTTCGTTTTAATTCAATCAAAATGCAATGCGACGCGAATGGTTCTTGTCCATGATAAAATAACAAACGAAAATAAGAAAAACAAGACTATTCTCTATGACTTGATTTATTTTAACATGAATTAAAGAAAATATTTCGATTCGATTGCTACTAAAATACTCTATAGATCGGTTTAAGTAAACAATGCGCTATCTTTGCTGAGTTAATGACTTCCGATTTGTTTGATCTAGAGTAGTGCATGCGATGAATGTACCAAGATGCCGACTTTTGTTGTTTTTCTTTTCTGGTATTTTGTATGTCACTTCAACAGATAAAACTGTTATTGGGTACCTGGCCTCTAGCATCATAAAAATACAAGAATGAAACAAAACAATAGATTTATAGTCCTATGAAAAAGCAATTCTATACTTTGCAATGAGTGAAAAACTGAATAACCCCATTGCTATAATAACAATAAAATTTGTATTAAAATGTCTTTCACTTTCACACGTGCCACTAGCAAAATAAAATTGTTTAATACTACATATCATCATGATTGAATTGATGAACAAGCAATATGCTGCTTTTTTTCTCATGCTGTCTCTGGTAAAGACGTTTTTTTTTTTGTGTTGAACAATTGAAAACCTACAATAGGAAACGACCAAACACAACATCCATTAACTTTTATTCGACTATTCAAATGTCAAGTTGATGTTGGTAGTGTTTCGACAAAGTGTTTTAATATATTTGAAAGATAGGTTCTATAGCGAAAGGCGAACTAATTTTACTCGATATGTTTAAGTTGATTGACTTATTGAAACAGAAAATTGTAATTGTACAATATCGATATTTATGATAACAAGCGTGAACAATTGAAATGCCGGCACTTGTCTGTTTTATGCCATAACTATTAATCATGAATATAATTGATCGGCAAACATAAAACAACAATGGAAATGATCATCGATTAGAGATGACATTTGATGCGACAAATATACAGAATGTATACGTCAAATTGGGGACTGTTGCACTAATAAAGCGATACAAGAAAAAAAATCTATTAAAGTAAAATAAGTACAATCTTAATCGATAAAACATCTGTTATCATGTGAGATTATTACAAACTTTAAAAGATTTACAGAATATTTCGTAAATTTTGAATTTCGAAAAAAAAAATATTAATTTGTGTGTAAGTGAAAATGAAGGAATCTTTTAAAATGAAGTAAAGAAAACGTAAATACTCTTACACAGTCAAAATTTTCTTGCCATCGTCACTAGACTTCCATCCAGATCTTATCTTTTCGAAAACCGTCAAATGACAGTTACTTAGCTTAGATGGTCTGAAATTAATTTTTCGAAGATCTAACTTCTGCTATTATGGAAAAATAATAATTAAGCCAATAATTCAAATGTTTTATACAATCAATAAATTGACATCCATTCATTTTAAATGAGGAATCTACTAAAGAGAACACATGAGGGATTAGGAGGACACTGGACAGAATTGGCTCATATCTTGGCAATGAGACGGTGTGCCGAAGTAGATCAAGTAACAACAAAGCAAAACGGTTGACGCTGGCCATTCTGTATACTGACCGAGTTGAAAAACTTTTGCACAAGCACGAAAATTGATAAGTATCACTTGGGTACAATTGTCAAGAGGTCCATGTCAACGGAGAAATGCATCTCTTATGTTGGTATCAATAAAAATTATTAGGTAGTTAGTACAGCTAGATCAAGGAGTGGGATTAAGGTTTTGGTGAAGAGAAGACTAACATTCACATTCATCAAATTGACACACTGAACCCATACTCTTGACCTAATCCAATGATCTATAATATGCACAGATTATGGAATTATCAATCTCGGATAATATTAATTGTTTTGATTCATGCCAAATTGTGTATTAATTTAAATATTTTGTTCAACGAACTCTTCGTATTCAAAACATATATCCATCTAGAAAATGTAAAATTGATTAAAAGACAACATCATTTCATTTAAATCAAGGATATGATATGCCGTTTGATGTTAAAAGAATCGAATTTTATTTTGATAAATAATTATGTACCTATGTTTGAATTATGTTTTTGAAAGATTTTTGTGGCAAAGAAGATTATTAAAGCAATGCAAAGAAGGTGTAGAGAAAATGTTTGATAATTTCTTTTTGAAGATCATAATCTAGATTCAGACTCATAGTAATTTGACTTCTTCTCATGAAAAACATAATTAAAAATTTATTTAAGACCATGAAGTGGAAAACCAATTTATCAATTAAACAATCCATTATGTTCGTGAAGCAACATATGAATTTAAAAAATCAAAATAAACGATTTAAAGCATATATCAATTTTTATGAATCTCAAGAAATAGACTCTACCATTCAATTTAATATAAAGCAATTTGCAAGTAACACGTCGTCATGAATCTCAATACATCGTCAATATCTATCAGCGTTCTCTATCTTATATTTTTCAAATGAAACGTTTTATGGTGAACATGCCTTAAATACATGTGAGTGTCTAACAAAATTAGAAATTTGTTTGTAGAATCTAACTTTTTATAAATGATTCCATTTCTTGTCCAACTTTTTTTTATATTTTCTGCACTGTCTTTATCTGATAAGCACAAATCAAGATCACAAGAGTTTTCTACTTCGTTTTTTATCAATGGCAACGAAATTTGGACATGTAAATTCAATAGGCTGGCTTGTGGAGATATTTATATAAATTTTCTTAGTGTAGCAATACATAATACGAAAGAAGAAAAAAAGACATATAGAGGAAGAACATGGTGAAAGAAGCGAAAACGTGTATGACGATAATATTCCTACGAAATTAACTACCTATGTTATGACAACGTGATGTGTCGTCATTGCATGTAAATAAATAAAGTTGGAAAGAACTATACAATTGCGTCGTCAATGAATACGCAGTGTATATAATGACAAACATAAGTCAAACATAATCCATACATTTCAGTATCAATTGGAATATGTGAGTATACTTTATTTTCAACTTATTTAAGAGACAATTCATGAGATAATCAAATCATTTATAATAGCACCTAACTCTTTGAACAATTGTTCCGTCTTCCTTATTATTATGCTGTAAGTTTTAAATAAATTTTGTTTTCTTGAAAAGTAAGTCAGCAAAAGCTCAAGTGATTTCAGATCAAGATTAATCATCGAACGATTTTGTGATTTCCACACAATACTTGACTTTCCGAAAGCAGAATTTTCATCTGATCTTTTGAAAAAAATCATTTTTGAGCGAATTAGAAGATTCACAAGATTTTTAATGGTGTTTGAAAGATTATTCCAATTTTATCGAAAATCAATCGAAATTTTACAAAAAGGAAAATATCAACATTATTTTTATCGAATATGAATTAAACCATCATGATTGTAGAATCATTATTTACTCACATATGTATAGCTTAGTTGAAAATGTCGAAATAATGACAAAATCAAGTCATAAATTATTTTTACTTGGTCATAAAAGATAGTAGGTATAATTTTTTTCCAGAAAATCTTTGCAATATTTTCCACTGTTCTGATAATTTATATTATATGCTGTTTGTCGTATATCGTCCTTGTATTGAAAACTGATTGTTCATTTTGATACAATCTTCCTATAACAAAAGTGTTCATTTTATGTAATTACACTTCCATTAGAATTTTTACATATTTAATTAGGTAGATACAAGCGATTCATCAGTAGCTATGTTGTTACTTTTGTATAAAAGCATTGCTTTCTTTGTGATATTGTTAAATTATACTCTCTAAAATAATGCCTCATTTGTTCGTGATTGTTTATACACTTTTCGTTTATCAGCAGATTTAAGCTTATGAGTAAAATCGCTATGGAGGTGAAAGAACACTTTTTAGTAAATATGAAAAATGATCGTTGATGTTCGAATATGTTGACTGGGAGACAGTCGTTTGTACTCAAACTTTCAACATGTTCTAATAACCATGAAACATAGATTGATGTCCAACTAGAATTTTCTTTGTTCAAATTTCTCAATCCCTCCTGGTTATCAGCCAAAGATACAGTAGAAGAGTTCTAACTGAGTCTAAGGCATGGGTATGGATGATGGTTTTTGTTTCACCCGCACTCATATTCGCCATCTACATACATGGATGAACCGTTCACAATTAAATTCTCATTGAAGATAAATCAATAGAAGCTGTGCTGATGTTTAGTCTGAGTTACTTTATCTATAAAGAGAAACTCAGAATGTTTGCTTTCACTATCTTAGAAAGCAACAACAAAGGTGAGCAAATGAAATTTCACAAAAGTAGACCGTGCCCTTATCTTATCTCGTCTTGTGCATATGTAATGATTTGTCATTCTTTTAGTCAGTAACAATGCAGGTATTGTTTCAAAATCTAAGATCAGCTTCTTTGATTCATCATGGGCTTATCGTTCCAGTCGTTAGACGTTCAATAATATGTCGAACGGCCACTTCAATGTCTTCAATGATGCTGCCATATTCAATGAAACCTGAAGGTGATATTTCTTCAGTATTCGCCTCACTTTCCGGTGACGATGCTGACAAACCTCTCGAACCTCGATTTGCACAACTGAAAGCGGAAATTATCAGCGGTTACGAGCGAGAAGTCAAAGATAGTTGGTATCGCCTAATTGATGCTCTGAAACGTGAAAATGCCATTATTCGTTCTTCACGCACAGCAATTATTCCTGAGGTTGACTTTAATAATATGAAGAATATTTCATCCGATTTGATCAGTGAGATTCGCACTCGTGGCTCCATGATTGTGAGGGGTGTTTTACCTGAGAACAATGCACTGAAACTAAAAACAGACGTTGAAGACTACATCAGACAAAATCCACAAACAAAAGCCTTTCCTAAAGACAAGCCAGTTGTGTTCGAATTGTATTGGTCATGGTCACAGATCAGAGCGCGTGCCAATCCTCGAGTAGCCGAAGCACTCGCTTTCGCAAACTCATTCTGGCATGCTTCACCGTCGACTCATATCTCATTGAAAGAGAACATTATCTATGCTGATCGGCTGCGAATTCGTCAACCCGGTGATGTTCAATTCGCTCTTGGTTCACATGTCGATGGTGGTAGCATTGAAAGATGGGAAGACCCAGAGTATCGATCATGTTATAAGTCCATTTTTGAAGGTCGCTGGGAGGAGAACGATTTTTTCGATGCCACTCATCGTGTTGGCGCGAACATGTCTCTTTACAATACAGTTGGTGGTTGTTCTGTCTTTCGTTCGTGGCAAGGTTGGCTCAGTGCTTCAACTACTGGTCCAGGTGAAGGTACCCTTTTGGTGAATCCACTCTTAAAATTAGCCGCATCCTATTGGCTTCTTCGACCATTTTTCAAGCCAACTGAAAAAGGAAACGATTGGCAAATTGATACATCGAGCATCTGGCAGGGCGCTATTCCTGGTCGAGGCCAAGAAATGAATGAAAGATTGCATCCTGAACTAGAATTATCTACATCAATGGTTCCCATTCCAAAGGTTCGACCAGGTGACATGGTTTTCTGGCACTGTGACATGATCCACGCAGTTGATAGTGTTCATCGTGGTCAATTGGATTCGAGTGTTTTCTACATTCCTGCAGCACCCTTGTGCGAAGTTAATGTTAAATATCTGGCTCAACAGCGTGATGCCTTCACACAAGGTATTCCACCGCCTGATTTTCCGGGTGGCGAAGGTGAATCACGTCATGTTGGCCGAGCGACTCCTGAAGAAGTGATAACACTCGGTGGTGGTCGTGCCATGGGTCTCGAGCCGTTCTCAGTCAAATCAAATATGACGCCAGGAGAAAAAGAGATGATATCACGGGCTAATGCAATATTAAATTTTAAAAACTGTTCACAAGAACATAACATTTGACTATTATTTTTCATCAGAGATTTCTTCTGAAAAATAAAAGCGAATTCTCAAGCTGTCTGTAGTTATTGTGGAATCTACACGTGGAGTGTGGGTGACCAATCACAGACTTTCTTAATTTTGTAGCGATAAATATGAATCATCATCATCATCATCATCAAAAAAAGTATTATGAACTTGTTGAATGAGTTAGAGAACGCTTGTTATGAACATGTTCAAGTGATTGAGATATGAAGCGGATAGCATCAACGCTGGCAATGAGAGATCAATTGTAACAGATTTTTGATTTCATGTTCGACCAACTGTAGCTTCTGGAGCTAATGGTATCATGAGATTTTGAGAAATATTGATTTACATTGTTTTGATCAAATAAAACCAAATCAAATCATTCATTTGTATGAAGCAGAACTGCAATAATGTTGAGCGCGATGAGTCTATTGTTCTTGACCGATATTGTATTTTCTCTCCCTTAAATTTGTTTTAAGGTTATTGATGAGTTTCTAGGCGATATGAATATATTCTTTCTTGTAAAGATGATTTCTAACGCTCCTTGATGCTTTTCTAACTAACAAAGCCAACAAAAAGTAGAAGAATAACTATCTTTGCTCGGATCACATGGTATTCGTAATAACAACTAATGTTTCATGATGAGTACGTTTGAATTGTTCAGGAGTACGGATCACAAAAACTATTGATGATGATGATGATATCGATATTTGATCTACTGTTTTCGACTTTGTAGTTTCTTTGGACAAAATGATGAACAACAAATAGTTATGAATCACTTTTCTCGATGCATATACAGTATGTATTTATATTGATAAAATATATTCTCTCAGTTGATTCATAGGATCCAAAAACAAATTTTATTAATTCTTACGAATAAATTTTACTAAACAAGATTAAAAGTTACCGAATAACAAACAATGGTGACTTGTATACTCTAAAAACGCATGTTGATTTTGATTCGCTAATATATTCGACGAATCTTATGGTATCCTGACTACCAAGCATTATGTCAGTTATGGGACTTTTTGAAAATAACAATGAACGAAATGTGTGCTCGAAGAAAGGACCTCCACCGATATTCTTGTACGGCTCGTTGGCTTCATTAATCGATGGAAAACTGCCAAGCTTTACCACTTTTCAGTGTTGAAATGCATCAACCGAGGACCGGAAAAAGTTAGTTAGAACACTATGAAAAGTGTCTAGGCTACGATGAAAAAAGAATGTACGCTGAAATTCTATTTTACCCTTTAGATGTACATTGCACCAATAGTTCGGAATAGATTCGATGTGATTGTTCAAGAAACATAGAAAAACCGAGAATAAAAACAGAAAAAATAAAAAGATTTCATTTTTTTTGTTACTTATACACTGAAATCTGTACGAAAATTTTCTCAATTTCACAACAAGCATTGTATCCTTGAAGCGCCAACAAAAGGACCATGTTTGAAGCAATAATTTTACTGTGCTCTATATCTTCATGCATGGTCATTAAATTATATTAAAAATTTTCTCGCTGAAAACAAAAAATTACTCGTAATGACGGACTCGTATAAGATTTATATCAGTTATTCAAAAGAACTTTATACTCTAATTTTTCTTAAGATTTGGTTTTAAAAATAAATTCAAGTTCTGCAACATTTGTGTATTTTATTGTTTGATGTTAACCAATCATAAAAGGCAACCTTTACCCGATGAGCCATTCAATACATTTTCTATCCGTGAAATCTGTATTTTAGATGCAGCATACGATCATGGATTTTATTTTTCATCAAATTCATCGCTCAATAAATAGTGTGCAACACAAGATCCATTGAATGATGAGCGTACAATACTTATATTTCGTCCAGTTATTGGCAATAAGTTTTATTCACTTATGGAGATAATGATTCATTCGATTGGGATGTTTTGAATACTCTCGAAATGTCAATACTTTCGGGTTCTTCTGATAAAACTAGTAGAGATAATCAATATCTTAGAGTAATCTTTACAGATATGATCATGATATTTAGAAACAATTCTGTATTATAGTATCGTTTTGATTGCAGATCAGTCCTGTTGAACTAAAATTTGTGCTTAATGTAATGTCCCGTTTCTTCGAGAATAATGTTTAGCGAAAATACAAAATATATTGGTTTTGGATCATTCTAAATGGAGCATATTTTGATTAGATGTTGACGATTTGTGTTTAATATATTTGAATGAAAATATGATTTGTAGTAAACGGAAATTAACTTCGTTACTATTTCAATCAAATTTCTTTCGACATATGTGTCAAAATGAATCATTAATCGATTTGTCCCGTGTTCGAAGTTTAATCGAGATCAAAGACCAAGTATATCATTGGTGTCTATTGAAATGCTGACACAAGCGAACAACAATATTCTGAATTACATAATCAGCTCATGTGCAGACCTATATATTCGCGTAACATATTGATTAGAATTAGTATATCTGCTGAAGGCTATTGGCGAATCTAAAAGGAAAACGAGAGTATGGGTGTGTATGAATAGAAGACTCATACGTCATGTTGGAATTTTTTTCACTTGTCACCATAGTTCTTGCTACAATAGCCAGCTAAGTCGGGTACACCGATCTTCGTAAAGTACCACAGAGGCCAGAAAAATTGAAAAGTTGCCCACCAATAATTTTCACTTGTTAGGGCCAAACCAGTATGCCATAGAGTGTAACCACCATAATTAACATGACAAGCACGAGAAAAAAAAGGCCGCTAGTATAGAGTTTTCTCTTGTTTACTGGCTTGTCTTTAAGTCGTTTGCGTTGAAGTTCCGAAATTAGTTCAGTAAGTATACTCACAGTGAATAATGATATGCCATTATACTGTATACTGCCTAATACATTTGAAGGACCGTAGATCATAGATGACTATGTGGCCAGCGAATTAGTAATCGTGTTGTAAATGCATATCCCCACTGCGGCTAAATATATTATTTTCACTTCTAAGATGTGCGTCATATTAATAAGTTTCACAGCACAGCCTGTTGCCATTGCGATTAGTACTTTACCTTTAGGTCCAGCAGGGACTGTGGTTATTCCAATCCTAGATAAGATTTGATAGTCGTATCCATGAAAAATTAAGAGATATTGAAGATAGGAATCGATTGCACGAAGAGCTGTGAAAAGAAGATGAGGGAGGGGATGTGAGTCTTTGTTGGAACGATCAAATGCACGTTGTAATACGTTTAAGCCAGTTGCCATGGTAACCAAAGATGAAGAAAAACGTTTTTTAGCGTTGTACGAATTTGAAATTACAATCTGGTTTTGTGCTCTAGTATCAGTATTGTTTCTGACGATAGTCACGTTGATATTAAGTTACCATTCAACAAAAAAGCCAGATCATCAATGAGGTTTTGCTCATTCTATGCGTGTTTTCTTCTTATAGGAGCTAGGACGAGAAAAAATATTGTTTACTGTCATATGCTCACATGCATACATGAATAAAAGACGAATGGCTCCTATAGAAATTACAAGATAGTTAATAGATTCATGCAAACGATAATTGTCGCCGCAAATAAGGACGATGTTTTTTGAACAAATTTTTATAAGAATAATATAGAGATGTGTAGCTGTCATTACTAACTTGATAGTCTTTGCTAAAATGTTGATAACAACAATATTTAAAAACAGTTTTATAAAGGAACAAAATAAAATCAAGGGATTGTTCAAATTTTTGATTGACTGATTGTTCATGATTTCTCGATATCTACAACGAGTAGGGTGTGGGTGAAAGGACCTTATTACTCACCTACATCCACAAGAAATAATTCTCATTGATTGCAATAAGTTCTTAAACATAAAAAACTATAAACCTACTAGAAAATAACTGAAAATTATTAACTTAGTAAGAAAAAACTAGTCATAAATTTCATAAATTACGAACATCATTTTTTCATATGAATAATAAACCCATTCAAATTAATAAACACAATTGTAAATCAAGCTTTGATAATAAATATTCAAAATGATGCTAACTTCAATGAAAACTCAAATGAAGCCAAAACTGAAGACATTCAATATCATAACATGTAATAAACGGCAGTTACACTGGGTAGTCGGAATTCTGACGAAATTCTGCTAAAAAAGGCAAATTTCCAATCAGAGTTTTCATTTATATATATGCAGGGACCAGTTTATATGAGAAAACATAATTCTACCAGAAAGTCAGAATTGTGCTGTAATAAACGGAGTTCATAATAGAATTATTATTGTTTTAGTACAGTATTATAAGAATTATGTTAATATGGGCAGAATGTAGATGTAGATAATAATAAATGTGTTTTCAATGCAGAATAGAACTCGAATCAAATCAAGTTTTATTGGTTCGACTTCAGTCCAGTTCGGTTCGTTTTTCGGTGTCTGACTCAGATCTATACTTAGATCTACTCATACATCTACACCACTCTGTCTATATAAATTTTAATACTCGCACGAACATGACGGTAAAAACTGAGAAAATGTTTCTTTTTCTCTTCGTTGTCCGTATGAGTATTAGAATTTATATAAATAGAAGAACAAAAAAGAAATGGTTGATTTGACAATGGTATCAAGAGTCGTTGTACTTATTCATTTTATACTATAGGTGCCAATATTTTCTGAAAAAAATTAATATCATTGATCGAATCGCTAAATAAAAATGTTTTCAAATAAATAAGATAACGAAAAGAGTCTACTTACATGAACCAACGTAGTAAATTTTCATTAAGAAAAGCAACAATATAGATATTTAGTTTATTGGACAAATTTTTTCAAACGATAGTGAACTGTTTAGACATCGAGAGAAAAGTTAGGTCTATATTTTACGACTTGTTGAAGTTTGGTTATATTTTCTTCGGCTACACCACAGTGCTTGACATTGAATTTTTCCAATGATTGATTGAGTTGTATCATACGAATGAACGAGTTGATCGTAGAAAGATTAGTCAGCTGATTGTTAGATAGATGTAACTCTTTTAGTGTTTTATTGTCATATGTTAAAA